AGCAAGTGATCCGCGAGTTTAGCAAATTATAATATATCCCGTATCCAATTGTAAACCAATCGTGTATTGATTTTATTTAACCATGATAGTCCAATATACAATAATTTGCGGAAAATATTTTAGTAAAAATTACAATGAAATTTTATAATCTTACATTATGCACAGATTATGATCGAAATTACTATATATTTGTTTAAAAATGTTAGGCTATATAATTAATAATATATTATTATATATTTGTTTAAAAATGTTTGACTTTTTACTGCAAAATTATTGCAATTACTTAAATGTTTCTTTTTTATATCGTATATTCGGTAGATCGTTAAATTGGCTGTTTTTATGGCAATTTATACTACAATTTCAGCAGGTAAACTGGATCAAAATGTTTTGAAATAGTTGTTAGTTTTTTGTTTCAAACGAATTATTTTATTGTGCCAAAGATAATTAGCTTATTTGAAACAAAAAATTAACAACAATTGTCTCAAAACTTATTTTGATCAGATTCGATCTATTCTATAGTTTTAGAAAATATATTGTAAAAAAAAATATATATATATATATATATATATAATTTTAACTACAATATTAATTTTACTACAATATTTTCTTCGTATATAATGATTCTTCAAAATATCATTTAAATACCGTGTTGCAAAATCAAATGAATTTTCTAGATGCGTAATTTTCAACTAATTAAAATCTAAAATTTATAACTCCGTGCCAATATTAAATATTTTACGGATACAACGAGCAAATCCATCGATAGATCCGTTATTAAAATTTTTCCATATCAATGATTTAGTGATATATTTGTGTAAATTAACGCCGCGTTATATATTCTGTGTCATCGGACTTTAAGAATTTTACTGTCAAGAAGTTTTACAATGTCATGTACATTTTGAATATTATTTTGGAAATATTATAGAAAGAGCAAAAAAGAGGCAAATAAGAGTCGAACGCGAATTTTCATGCGGTACTGTCTACAATAATTCCTCGATTCCGCGGTTGTTTGTTTACAATTGATCTCGACCGTCTCGTTCAAATCGATAAGACGTCGAGTGTAATATTTGTGCTCGCAAGCATAGGTATGTTAAAAGCTTTGTTGAAAAGTTAAATCTTCGACCCACATAATATAGATATATATTATCACGATATCAAGAGACGAATAATTAACGTACTATATCAAATTTCTTGGAAACAAAACACGATGGGTATCGTCTCTATGTTCCAAATTTCATAATCTTCCTATACTCGTCAGCGGCTCGAAATACGATATGCTCCTATCTGATATAATCTCACCATAACCTGTCAGTTAGTAATGACTCTTAATGTGCTGATAGAAGATTCGATCGAACAAGTTTCATAATGAAGTTCCTACGGATAATCGATGCGGCGGCGACAAAGAAACATTATATTTATGGACGGAATATAACTTTCATTTCCACTACATTAACCGAAAAATTTTTGTGAACACGTTAGTACAAGTTAGTTAAACTTAAATTAGAGCAAATAACTATTAAGTTACAAACAAAAGGAAAAAAACATAAAAAAAGAAATAACGTAATGGCTCCACTAATGAATATGATTTTACTAATTTCTAAATCGATTTGCACCGACATATTAAATTTTAATTTATCGTTATAAAGTAGTTATCGTATAATAAAGTAGTATCTTTCTAGATATTGTAATAGCACATAGAAAAAGAATTTGGTCGTATCGTAATGAAATGTTTGAAATACAAACAAATAAAAAATTCTGGTTAGAATTCTGCTTAAGTCAATAAGATCTCTGGTTAACCAGAATTTACAACTGTTCAAGTTAACTAGAAATGTTGTCAATTTGAACAGAATTTTGGTAACTTGAGCCAGAGATCTGATTCATTCATAATATTTCTCTTGATATTAGTTACTCAAACACTTTTTCCATGCACGTGTTCACATGTACCGCAGTCTGACTTTGGCAAAGTGTAAATATTCCAGAAATATTCCAAAAGTATGTTTATTACTCACGCGTCCTCTATCCTATAACCGTGACAGATCTTTCTGCTGTTGTATTTTATATTGCCGTCGCGTTACTCTGAACGCATCACGAGATGCACCACGCTGCGTAAATCGCAGACAGGCACAAGCGTACACAATTCCTACCATGTTTCGTTATCTGACTCGATCATCGATTAGTTCTAATCTACTATATTGCCACAAAGAAGCGACCTGTTTCAAACCACGAGCTACGTACAGCAGCGATATCTTGTATCGCGCTCTCGTCGTCGCGTTCTAAATTTATATCGGCGTATTGTAAAAACGTTTGTTTTCAGGTTTGCGCACATCACACTTACATCACGCAACAAATTACCTGAATCTTGCGCAGTAGGATGCGTCGACGCTGTCCGTTGCGCTCACGGAAAAGTCTTACAGCACGCGATTCACCGATTTTTGTATAATTAGGCACATTCGCAAAATAAAACGATCATCGTGGTAACAACCATGTAAACGAAAAGACACGACTCTTGAATACGAGAGAAATATATCAATAAACGCACCGGACAGCATTAGCACGCCCAATTGTGCACATTATATTTATATCGCGTGCGTATTTTGCACGCATTAAACGCGTAACGCGCTATGAATCGCCCGGCGAATTTTGCTCACGTGCATAATATTAATATCGCGTCATTAATCGGTAAATTTATGGTAGGTATATTATATTCGCGTTCATCTCTCTCTCATTCGATTGTCGTCCGCGGAATATTTCAGTCGCGTTTACATCGCGCCATTAGCCGCGCCTAGAATCCGTTCCGTCAGATAGGCGAATGTATCCGGGGAAAACGTCAAGTCTCATCGTCGATTCCGTTTCTCCATTGCTCCGAAAGCGACGCTAACTCAGCCGGATGATGCCGTCGACGATGTCGAGTGCGCTCGCATTTCCCGCCAGCGTTTATATTCATTTCGTATGTCGTCGCGTCGTTACGCGTCCCGCGCATAGAGCGCACGTACGTGCAAGGGAACCGAGTCGCATCCCAGGGCCTCTCGCTTCTTCCGACCGAATTTCACAGCGAACACTCGTCGGCGCTTTTCCCACGAGCTTCTCTTTTCGCGCGAATCTTTCTTCGCCGACGTGAGAAAAAGTTACGTCGTTTGCCTAAACACATTCGATTTCCGCGAAATAAAGTCAAACAGAGGTGAGAAAGAGAGAGAGAGAGAGAGAGAGAGAGAGAGAGAGAGAGAGAGAGAGAGAGAGAGAGA